ATCATGCATGCTGGTACGCGAATCCGATACCTTCCACTTCCTCGTCCAATGCGGGAAGTCAATCTCTCCTGGTAGGAAGAAAACCCCCATTTCTGCCGTGGCCTGACATCGGACACTTAACAAAGTGGTCCGTGTCTTCGTACAAGTTTGGCTTCGGCCCGGAATGTCTGCGTGATGACGATCCAGACACGTTCTGCAGTAAGCATCAGCATTTCAACTCTCTGGCTGATTCTCGAACGATACTAATGGCGATATCGCGGTTCAGATGGACCCCCAACCGCACTTCACCACGGTCGAATTTCCTCGCAAAGTAGCCATCTAAGTGCGGAACTCTCCATATCCGCTAACAATCGTAACGCACACCCGCTCACCCGGTTTTTTTCCCAGAAACTCAGCATATACCTCAGTAGCGACCATCGCCGTGGGTGCCGGAACAGGGCTCCATGATCTGCAAGACGTGCAAGCCATCCATCTGGACAAACCTGACGGTTGGACCACGTTCGACGCGTCTGCCGAGCCGAGCCCTGACGGTGCCAACGGTCTGTCCGTCCGACTCGTGATATGCGGATCAGACAATCGCGTGCTCATCTGTGGGCCGGTATACCAGTAAACGGATTCACGCGTACGTTATCCAAGTGATCATCCTCACGAACCACATGAACAGCAAAGATACCCATGTCCGCGGGCTGCGCGTCCTCGGACCTATCGAGTGCGTGATGATCGGACACTTCCGTACCTTCTTGCATCACTCATCCCTATCCGCAGAGAGCTTCCTCAGATAACAAAGACCCGTTCCCTTCGTCGATCCTTGCTTCAAGATGTACGAACGTATCCGATAGAACCGAGCTAGGCAGATGTAGTAACAGTTTGTATATCCAATTACAAACGTCCAGGAGAAATGTAAAAACACCTCCACGCGAGGTCTCCGACTATAAGTCAATCGTGTCCGCATTACCATGTATCAATAGACAACACAAAACGCTCGTAATTACAGGATGGGCCGCAGTAAGCAATAAATACCACTGGTACCACCGCTTCAAAGTCACGGTATCTGCGAAGCGGCGAGTGCAGACTGGGCGGGGGCCGGCGTGCCGAACACGCTCGTGCTGCCTGCTGGCGCGCCGAAAGTCGATGCGGGCTGCACCCCGAATGCTGGCGTAGCAGGTTGTGGTGCGCTGAAGGCAGAGGTCCCCGCAGCAGGTGCGCCGAACAAGGGTGAAGGACGGGGCGCGAGTGCCACGAAGGGCGACGTTACGTCGAGCCCAGGCGTAGCCGTCGTGCTGGTCCCGAAGGCAGAAGACGTCCCGGGCGGTGACGTCTGTACGAACGTCGCACCCCCCACTTGTGACGGGCACAATGCATGCAGCTGCGAGACCAAATGGAGATGGCTATTTTGTGAACGACGAAAACGCTCCCCCGCCGCTTGCTTCCGCTTTGCTACCCGCAGTTGACACAGGCTGAGAATTCGTGTGAACGCAGAGAAGGCGCCTGAGCTGAAGGACCGTGTTGCTGGCTTGATGAGAGAGGATTGAGCGAATGCTGTTAGGCCGAACGCGAATGTTGTGGTGGTTGATGCTTGTCCGAATGGTATTGACGATGGCTGTGCTGGCTGGCCAGATGCGGACGTAGTTTGGGCAGGTTGGCCGAATGCGGTCGTAGTTTGGAAAGGTTGACCGAACGCGGACGTGGTCTGTGGGTGGTCGAAAGCCGATGCACTCCGCGCTGGTTGTCCGAACGCAGATATGCTCTGAGCAGGCTGTCCAAATGCAAATGTGCTCTGGGCAGGCTGGCCGAACGCAGAGGCACTCCGCGCTGGTTGTCCGAACGCAGATATGCTCTGAGCGGGCTGTCCAAATGCAGATGTGCTCTGAGCAGGCTGGCCGAACGCAGAGGCACTTTGTGCCGGTTGGCCAAGTGCAGATCCACTCCCAAACGCAGACGTTGCCTGC